TACCTCTTCCATCAGGGACTTGTTTCCTTTCTCATTTACTTGGTTTGCTCCCTCTGCCTGAGGGCAGGATGGGCAGAGCTTCACCAGCTCATGCTGAATTTCTTTTGGGCTCAAAAAGGTACGACCCCACCAGCCCTTTCTCTGTAAAGCTGCTTAACCTCTCTACTTCCTCCTTGAGCTCTGCCACCAGGCAGAGCAAATCATTCACCTGCTCCCATCGTATGCAGGTGTGACTCACACTGTCCTCTGAAACTAACACCAGACCGAGGCAGTCTGTGCAGCAGTGACCTGCACAGCTGCATCCTGCACGGAGGGCTCTGTCTGGGTTAGAACATTCCTCCTGAGAGCAGCAGCAACAGTTTTTGCTCGCGTAGATACCACTGCTGGGTCTAGCTGAGTTGCAGAAAAAAAAAAGAAAGCAGGGTGACTGTGTCCTACCTGCCCTCCCTGCCGTGCCCACTCCTGCTCGCAGCTCTGGGGCATTGTGCTCCCTGGGGCAGTTTAAATCTCCCTCCAACGAGCTCAGTCCCGCCCCGGTCAGCTGTGCGAGCCTCCCTGCCGCAGGCAGCTGATCCCAGCTCCAAATCAGAGAGCACACTACCAAATTTTAAATAGAGGGAAGCAGATCTAGCATTTTTGCAGTTTTAACAGGCCCTCAAGAGTTTTTGGGCTGAAATGTACAATGACAAATACCGCAGTATAATTTCTTTTGGGTTTAATGCAGATCTTACACAATTAAGGGAAAACAACTACTGTCGAAAATATGACATAAACAGTGGCATAATCCTCTCCCAAGTTAAACAACTGTATTTTAAGGATGTGCACAAATCTTCAAGAAAACTTAGCAAATTTACCTGTATCACAATGTGGCTTGAAAAAGCAATTTAAGAATCTAACATCAAGTGTAAGCTCCACAGACCTGTAAATAGTTTGAAATATTTTTACCTCTAAATACTACTAAAATAACAATTGCTGTTGCAGAGGAAATGGTCATTACCTATTTTCTCCCTTGTGAATGCAAAAGTTATTCATTTGTTTTGAGGAGCACAATTGTACTCCTCAATACATTAAATCATGATGGAAATAACGGTTAATCAACACAAAAAGGCCATGAAAAATCAACTCTCTGCATATCATGAACTCAGATGCACATTAATTTTAAATATGAAATGTCAGTGCCACAACCTTTTCTTATTTTCTTCTGCAGAGAGAGGCAATTGGGAAATGAATCCTTGCTTACTCTGTTTTTAACAAGCAGCAGAGCTTCAGCTTCAAATTAACAGTTAAAACCAAACAGCATCACCTTCTTTAAATCACTTAAATGTACTTGTAGACATAAACATGATGGATGACTAGAAATTGGAGCATTCATTGCTATGGGGCAACAGATGCCACAATGAAGTCATACTCTAAGAGATCTCACTGGACTCAGGATAACAAAGTGCCTTCTGCCCACAGTGTGAGTCAGACAGTAAAACATCTGACCTAAGCTGGAGATGGCATGGGCAGTGCAGCCTCAAAGGAACCTTTGGGAGACAACAGCTCCCCTCTGTGCCTGGTGCATTGAGCTTTGGGGTGATCCAGGTGCACCTGACCAGCCATGCTGGCAATGTGAGAGGAAAATTGGTAGTAACTGGGCATGGCAGGGTGTGAGTGTGTGTGTGCAATGTGGATGCTCTTTCTAATCCTACTTCTGTAGCTCTTTTACTGATGGGAATAGGAATCTCATTCATAGCTCTAGCTGTTTTTCCCCAGCTGACAATTTCTTCGTGCTGCAGCAACATGAGTTCCCATGACATAATCACAGGCATCTTGCTATTCTGGTACTAAAATAAGCTGGCAGTGTGGGACAGCTTCCGGTCTGACTGTTTTTCAGCAGTAAGGAGAATCTGCCATCAACAATCCGATTATTTTCAGCTATGCAATATAACGAAGGCAACATTATCACAAAGAAGTATTGGGATAAATCACTAGGTACTTTGTCTGTTAGACCAAATATTTTAGCTACCTGCGTAACAGAAGGGTGATCTGATGGTCCTAGAAAAGCTGGCTACAAAGCTGCCCTTGGTACTAAATAAAACACGTCATTTTTAGGACTACCTTCTCTGTTCTGGGACTTCCTCAGTTTTCCTCTAAAAGATGAAATAAATTTTCTGAAGTTTGCTGATCTTACATTTGTAAAACATGCTTCACATACTCAGCCTATTTGGAGCAACATTCAGAGATATTCATAAGTGACAGTAACAACAGCCCCAAGGTGGGTAAGGCCCTTCTCATCAAATGTGCTACTTTCCTCCAAATGCAAATGGCTAAGAAGGCAGCTGCTGTGAAACAGGTTAAATATTTAAGATCAAATATATAATTTCATTTAAATTAATCGAAATAATTAAAATACTGTATTAAACCCCCTCCAAGTGACTTAAGTCCACATAGATTGTTTTGAGCTAATTGGTAATACTAACCAGATGCCCTGCTTGAGTGGCACATTTGATTCTTATTCCTCTTTTTTGAATCTTCCTTTCCTTGCATTTAGCAATCCTCCACACAACCAGAGCTCTGCAGTTATGCACTCTACAGTATATATTGCAAGCCAGGCATGTCCTATTAAATTCTTTTTCACTGGTTATATTATCTGCTTCCTTGAACAGGACAACGGGGTTCAGGAAATTGGGTCTTTATCCTCTTTCTGCCACAAACTTTTCAAACAAGCCTGGAAGAGCTCTTTCACTGTCTCTGTTTCTCCAGCAATGACTCTGCCCGCAAGTTGTTAGACCCCAGAGGAGACACTTCATTCAAGTACTATGAACATAACTCAAGTGATGATATTGATACCGAGGTCAACAGGAAACAGCACACACCAATATGCAATTCAAAAAGTTGATTCATTACCTTTCTAGCCTGTGCATGGTCATGGCTAGTGTTTTGTTCAGTTCCTCTATCATCCGGCACCCTGAAGGGTGAATGGGCAACGTGCTGGACCCAGAAGGAATGTGCTGGCTGTGGCTGCCGTACTGGAGCTGGTGCTGGTGAGCTGCTAACTGGGATGGCAGGACAGTGTGATGCTGCTGGGTCAAAGGCTGCTGAGAGCTCTTCTGCGTGGAATAGGATGAGAGAGAGAGGTCTGGCCCCCCTAAAGGCATGCAAATCATGACTTTCTTTGGAGGTAGTGGAGGTGACAGTTTAACTGGCATACAAGGCAGTTTCACAGGAGCGCCAGGATCTAAAACAGAAGAAAGAGAGCCCTGGTGTTAATTGTCACATCAGTAAGATGGAGGTGACAGTATCTACCTTGGCAAGCAGGTACTGAAGGTGCTAGTCAACATGGGAGTGTGCACCCCTTCCCTGCTGTGACAGACAACCGTGCTCAGCATGGGCTTCAGAAAAAATATTGTTTTGCAGCATTTCTGAGTCTCACAAAAAACATCCCTGGGCTGCACACACCCCTTAATAAACACGTTAAACAATGTTTCACAAGGCTTGTGGCACACTTTGATGCTTTAAAGCTAATCCTCCAAAATAGCCCTGTGAGGTAAGTGCAACATCTTCCACTCAACGGGCACACAAATAGAGGGAGAGCAATTTGGGGTCTGAAGTTACAGGATGACTCACCACCATCACTGCCAGAGCAAAAGCTCAGGGATTCCTGATCCTTCTCAGCCACTGCAGTGCAATTACTACAAGTCATGCTTCTTACAGCTTTGTAATGTACAAAACATCTGGTGTAAAAATTTACGTTACAGGGCAAAAGAGAAATAGGGTTTGAATACTAAACAGGAGTGGTTTGGAAAAACAAAGGGTACAAGGGGATAAAAGTATAAAAGGTAGTAGATTGTTAGGACTAATGTATGCTTTTACAGAAGACTTGGCAGGCACTTTTCTCAGGACTCACGCACTGAATTTTACCTTTTTAACTCTCGGCATGTTCACTGAAACTCACAGTTGACTGGCCAGGCAAAGACTTCCCTGACTTCAATGAGAAATCAATGAGAGGTCCACAAACAGACCCCTCTTTCAGAACTCAACTGCAGAATGGAGATTCTTGGAGTTGCATTGTGAAATATTTCCAGAAGGGAAAAGAAGTAACTTGAGGGCTTGTCATTGCCAAGATGGGTGGGGAGAATGGTCACAACACATGCTAAAAGCAAAGAAGAGAGCAAATACATACACTGTGAGCTGCAACTGTGAGTTTGTCTGTAGGAGGAAGGCCAGGCCCTTTCCAGCCTGGAATACTGCAGACATTTGGCTCTGCAATGTAACTCTGCAGGCAAGGCTTGCATGATCTTTGGTTTCTTGCTGCTTTAGTCCACTCTTCTTGCTGCAACATGGTAAGGGAATTGCAGGGCCAGAATCTTCTTTTGACCCAAGAAAGTTCAGGACTAAGATGTTGCTCTCCAGGTACCAAAAGTCATCACCCTCCTGAGCACTATCAGATTTCTAAAGTCCTTTTCCAGATGGTTCTTTTTATTATTATTAACTATCTTTCTCCTCTGCCCCTTCATTCTTTTCTCCCTCCCTGTCTGTTTTGGGTATTGCCTATACTAGTATCCATATCTAATAGCCAGGGTGCACAAGGTTGATATGAGGACTTCCAAGCACTAACACTTCCTGAAAATTATTAAGGATCATAAGGTGGAAAAAGACCATTCATAGAGCGAAGTTTGGATAGGTCTTATCATTAATTTTAGTGCTAGTCATAGCCTCATTGCATTCACAGTGTCCACTTGATACTAGTGTTTTTGCTACACTAGGAACAACACATTGACAGTATGTTTTCCCTTTCTTCAGAGTGTTAGATTAACAACATGGAGGAGTCAAAGGGAGTGCAAAGATGAAATACAGTGTGCTGGTTTTGACTGGGTTAATTTTGTTCACAGTGGCTGGTATGGGGATGTGCTTTGGATTTGTGCTGAACACAGGATTGATAATATAGAGATATTTTCATTATTGCTGAGCAGTGCTTGCACAGGGCCAAGGCCTTTTCTACTTTTTGTACTGCCATGCTGGTGAGGAGGCTGGGGATGCATGGGAAACTGGGAGGAGACACAGCCAGGACTGGTGATCTCAACTGACCAAAGGGATATTCCATACCATATAGCATTATGCTCAGTATATAAACTGGGGAGAAGAAAAAGAAAAGAGGGAGTTGTTTGGAGTGATGGTGTTTGTCTTCCCAAATAACCATTACACTCATGCTCTTCTGGAGATGGCTGTGCCTGTCCATGGGAAGCAGTGAATTAATTCCTTGTTTTGCTTTGCTTGTGTGCACAGCTTTTGATTTCCCTATTTAATTGCCTTTATCTCAACTAATGAGTTTTCTCACTTTTACCCTTCCAATTTTCTTGCTCATCCTGCTGGTGTGGGAGTGAGAAAGCAGCTGCATGGTGCTTGGCTGCTGGCTGGGGTTAGACCACGACATAGAGGCATAGAGAAAAAGAGGCCTTTCTACATTGCAGAGTGGGAGAGTTACAGAGAGTAGAATCCAAGTCTTTTGGCTTTGAATGTAATATCAAATCCACCTGACATGTTGTCTTTTCCAGGCAAAAATTCTGATGGCTCCAGCAAGGCTGAAATGTAACTCGTGGGTTTGCCAAAGCAGTGCAAAAAAAATACTTAGAGGATTTTCTATTCAAGCACACAAAGGTCTTCAAATTATCTTGTTTATCTTACATACATGTTATCTGCATATATTCCCTTTTTGTATCCTGCATAAAAGAATACATCTCTTCAATAAAAGGTAAATAACAGAAAGAGTAAAGAGCAAATTGTATAGAGCCCTGAGAATAAGGCTCCTACAGGATTTGTAGTAACAAAGTGGTTTTTTTCATAGGCTTGTGCTTCAGGCAATTTCACTTCTAGAGCTTGTCCTAAATTACAACGACTACACTGAAATCTGCACTTCCATTTTGACAAATACAGGCTTGATGGTTGGTTTTAGATCCTTTTCTGCTGTATCTCAATTAAAGCTTTCATTTGAGAGTGCCCATGCCTGGACGGCCCATCACTCCGTGGCAGTCACCCATAATGGTGAATTTAAAGAGATCCAACTGTAGGCATCTATTGCTTTTGACAAAAGAATAACTGTAAGCATCAGCTGGGTTTGCTGCCTTTTGTGATCTTGAAGATCAGAGCAATACTGTACGTTGGGAGTGAGCATGACATGTCAAATGGTCCAGGTATAAAGCAAACAGGAATCCTTCTTTCTTCTAAAATATAGTGAAAATTTCTTTTCTCATGCAAGCATCCATTTAGCAGGGTTGTGACACAGGCACTGCAGCTCTGGAGTTTCGCAGGAGAACAAGTCTAGCTTAATTCATCTGAGTAGCCACATATTTCATCATGAATCAGATGCACACACACTGGTTTCCACTCCACAACAAACGTATGGACCTTTAGTTTCCACTGAAATTTAAATAAATCCTTCACATTAACATGTTTTCAGTGATCTCATTGCTGGGTGACTCCACTGGACATCTGCTAAAAATCTTGCCCATTCATGTCTTTATTCAGACTGACTGTGTTTCATGCAGGTTCTTGAGCCTGTCTGAATATGGTCCTAATACCAAAATAAATCCTTGAAAATTAACCAGAGGAGGCATTAGATCTACTTGTATGCCCTTCACCTTTAGAAGAATTCTACTTGTCTGTTTATAATAATGGCAAAGAGGAGAATGACTACAGTGGGAGGAGAGTTTGATCAATTCTCTTGGAAATGTAACAGTATATCTTCACTGACATCAGTAATGGAGACATTGGTATTGCAAGTTTTACTCTGTGGTCAGATCGGTGAGTACAATTAACAAGTGGGGCCCTGCCCAAATCCATGGGCTCCAGGCATTGTTGGAAACTGCACTACCATCATCTAGAGCAAAGGATGGAACAACTTCTCCCTGCATGTATGAGCAAGATTACTGTGTTTTACAATTCTTTCCTCTGTTTTAATTTCACAATGTACATAATTTATGAATGAAGGGCGGAAACAGTTATTGTCTCCAGCATGGCATATCTATCAGACATGGGCATTTGTAGATGAATATGAAGCTGGACAGGGGAAATATGAACAAGGAATCTGTAAGTGTCTTGTCAGCACATCATTACCAGAGTCTTAAATCATTGCACAAAGCACTCATGTGACAGAGAAGAAGCAAACTGCGTGAAGCCAGGTGTGCACCTCTGATTAATCTCTTCTGGCTGAGGTTCTTCATGCTCAAGAGAATAATGAGCAATTTTGCAAGATGTTGGTTCCCAGTGGGGTTGTGACCACTCCAGCACTGTGTACAGCTAAGTAATAACTTGTATGCTAGAATTGATGAAAAGGATGTTAGACATCAACCTCCCCACTGCGGATGACAATAAATAACTTAAAAGATAGTTGTGGATGCCACAATATTTGTTACACATCAGACCTTTGACAAGCAGGTCAGCCCTTACCCCTTCCGTATCATTTTGCTAACAGCTACAGTTGCTGCATTTCCTTTTGGATTTTCCAGAGATAGATAAACACATGATAAACATTTGTTACACAGGTTTGCTCATGTAAGGTTCTTCTGAAGTGTTTGTGGTACACTGGAGCTGTACATTAACTACACCACATTTGATGCTTCCTAGACACTGAACATGGCTGGAAGGTTGGTCAGCACATGTTGCAGATACGACTGCTGCAGATAGGGTGACAGGAAGTTCTGGATGTACAGCAGCAAATGCTGCTCCAGCAGGCTTGGTAGAAAAGCTTATTAAAATCTTCAAATTCTGCTCCAGCTCAACTACTGCATGGAGAAAGAAGGCATGCCTGGGAATCCTGGGCTTGCAGCAGAGCTGGCTGTGTTTGCTATACTGCCAGTGGTAGAAACACTCTTCATAACCCAACATTGTACCCTCACAGCAAGGAAGGCTGAGAGACTCCTGGGTGGTGTGAGGCACAGCTAGGAGATCAAAGGAAATAATCCCCTTCAATTCATCATTCCTAGACTGTATCTAGACTAGTGTGCAAGCTTAGGACCCCCAGAAAAGATATAAAAAACATAGAATGAGTTGAGCCACTGCAATGGTTAAGGGCTAGGGCACCTGAGGCACTGGGGCTTGTTCAGCTTGGAGAAAAGATAGCTTGCAGGGGGGACACCTAACAGCAGCCTTGCAGTACAAGAAGGTTATCAATAAGGTGGAGCCAGACTCTTCACAGTGATGCATGGTGGGAGAAGGAGAGACAGTGGATAAAAAGTGAAA